GGAGAGAGAGAGAAGGAGGGGGGGACACGGAGAGAGAGAGAAGGAGGGGGGGACACGGAGAGAGAGAGAAGGAGGGGGGGACACGGAGAGAGAGAAGGAGAGGGGAGTGTAAAGAATCACCTGGTACCCCCGACTGGGTACCTCCATTGAGGGATGCTCCTAGTGCTTACAGAGGGTTCCAAGCGCTCCGCCAACCCCACGAACCGCCGCAGCTTGGTTGGGGTATCACCGTCTCCTTCCCACCCTGGACCTACAAAAAGGCAAAGTGCAAGAGCAGCCCACCCACAACAAACAGTTACTGCACCTGGGTATTTCTCTGGGTGATGGGGCAACACGCTGTGGGGACTTGAGACGCAGAGACCAGCGGCGCTCTGCCCTGATGCCAGCGCTTCTGCTGGGGTGAGGGGGGTGCAGGCCAGTCCTGTGACAAGGGAGTTGGTAGGGCAGAGACCAGCAGGTATAGCCTGCAGGACATCAGGCTCTGGACAAGGGACAAAGGGAGGGCAGAGGCCAACTGCACTCTGCCCAGCTGCCAGCTCTTCTGCTGGGGTGCTTGGTACATAGTCTGGTTCAGTAGCCAGGGGAACATGGGGGTCAGTGGGGGTTAACATCTCCTCTTTTAACACTGGGGCCAAGTTAGGAGTTAGCGAGGGAAGGGAGTATTGGCTTACCTCCTACTCCTGCGATGGTAGCTGGGGATCTGGACAGGCTGTCCAGCATCCCTGTGGGTCAGGCACAGAGACCACAGTCCCATCTGCGCCGTTTGGAAGATTGGTGTCTCTCCTTGGTAGGATAAGTTGCCGCTCGGGGGAGAGGGTGCTGTGCTCCTCTCCCCGAATCACAGGCTGCCGCTGGAGAGGAAGGACAACACTTTCGGCTCTCTGTAACTCACTCTGCCGCTGGGGAAGAAGGACGACACCTTTCACTCCCTGGGACTCACTCTGCTGCTGGGGAGGAAGGATGGCACCTTCGGCTCCCTGGAACTCACTCTGGGGTTGGGGATCTGGGCCGACTGCCCAGCATCCCTATAGGGCTGGTAGAGAGACCTCGGTCCCATCTCTACCTGCCGACTGGGGTTCCTCCCAGTAATCCTCTACGATATCCTTCCAGCTGAAGGGCTCTAGACCTGGTTCTGCTACCCAGTTCTCTACCTCTGCTTGCAGGGTAGACTGGGGCTCAGAGCATGCGTTGGTAGGCCTGCTCCAGTTCCCACTCCATGGTTGTCAGGTGCATCATGTCTGGTTTCACCACGCAGTAGACAGGCCAATCGTGCATGCCAATCCTGTAGTCAAGGATGTCCCAAAATCGGAAATCCTGTCTGCTGCCGAAATAAGGCTCCTCCATGGCATCCAGTAGTAGACCAGGACCATCGTATTCGTCCCCCTCAAGCCTATCGAGCTCCTCTATCTCAAAGGTATGCTGCACTGTGTACCACCAGAGGGCCTGGTACGCGTCCTCCAGCCAATTCTCCTTCCATACCAGTCTCTCGAGCTCTGTTACCCACTCGTCCAGGGGCTGTTCTCCCAGGAAAGACATTCGCAGAGCCACTTGCCTCTGGATCCGCTGATCTTCACTGGGGAGCCTCTCACTTCACTGATGCTGCACATCCTCCAGAGCTTCATCCCAAAGTTCCTTTCTGGCTGCTTCCCGGTAGTTCATCATGGCCTCTTCTGATATAGGCCCATCCTGCAGGAGCTCCTGCAATCTTCAGTGGAACTCCTGCTCCATGTTGCTGTAGATAGGGATGCTGCACAGTAGCTAGCTCTATCCCTCTGGTTGTAACTCCACACATTACCTGTGTCTCTGAGCTGCTTCTCCTCGCACTAGGATGCCATCCCACTGCTGCCACCACTGTAACAGATCACCTGGCACCCCGACTGGGTACCTCAGTTAAAGGATGCCCCTAGCGCTTACAGAAGGATCCAAGCGCTCCGCAGACACCACAACCACCGCAGACCCTACAGACTGCCGCAGCTTGGTTGGGGTCTCGCCGTCTCCTACCCACCCTGGACCTACAACAATGCTCCAGGTTCCAGTGGGTTAATTTCTCCTCCAAGAGAGTGAAGCAAGAACAAGCTCTTAAAAGAGCTTAGTGATTAGCTAAGGGAGAATGCAGAGCATAGCAATCCCTTGCAGTGATATAGTAATTTGCCCAATAAGAGACAAGACTAGATTGAGGGTGAAGAACAACTGTGGTTTAATGACACGCACACTCTGCTTTTATGCAATTCTCCCCTGCAAGAGAGACGCCCACAGACAATTATACAATACCCAATCACACAATTGTTACATCCCACACATCTCCTCCCCTTAGCCTGAGAGGTAACCCAATTATCCGTACAGTTTAAAACCTACTTTT